ATGGAGCACTGGGTGTTATGCACAAACAATGAATCATGGAACACTTCATCTAAAACTAATGATGTAATGTATGGGGATTAACATAAGAATAAAAAAAAATTTCTATCAGGTAGTTTTTATAGGGAATCTATATCTAATTGTCAGGAATAGATAGTTTCAAGCTTCTTTTATTAAAGTAATATAACTTTGATATGAAAGCCTGATAAAGGTAGCACAAACTCTTCAGTTATATATAAAAACTCAAAATATAGCAATCAGACCATTTGAAGAATACAACATGATGAAGTTGTGTTTGTTATTGCTCCAGGGGTGCCTGGTTGGCTCAGTTGGTTGAGTGTCTGACTCTTGATTTTGGCTTGGATCATGGTCTTGGGGTTGTGGGATCGGGCCCCAAATCGGGCTCCGTGCTTGGTGCAGAATCTACTTGAGATTCTCTCTTTCCCTGTCCTGCCCTTCCCCTGCTTGTGCACACACTCTCTCTGTCTCTCAAAGAAATAAATAAAATCCTAAAAATATATTGCTTTAAACCGTCCACTTCTTTTTATCACCATTGCCATGACCCTACTACAGGCTACCATCTTTTGGTCTCCCTGCTTCCAGTGTGTTCCCCTCAAATTCCTTCTTCAAGTTTCAGTTCTTTTTCAAATACACATGTGATCATGACATTCTCATTCAAGTATGTATTGAACAATAGCTGTGGATACCTGGAGACCACCTACTCTCATTGAAAGTGCTGTCTGGTAGAGATCGATAATAATGAAATGAAGAGTGTATAAAATATATATAAATGAATAGTTAAATGATGAGCACAATTAAAATCTATGTTCATAATTCTGTATTAATGTATATTAAACCTGAGAGAAGTGATGTAAAGGAAAGAAGTCATGGCTGTAGAGAAAAGTATAACAGAAACCCAGTCTAAACTAAAGATGAAGGAAGTGTCTCTTGAAGAAGTGATGTTTGAAATGAGAGCAAAATGAGTACTAGCTGAGGGCAGAATAAGAGAAGGCCATACCAGTCAATGAGCAGCAGGTACAAAGGCTTTGTGGCAGGAGAGAGCATGGCACATATCAGGAACTGAAAGCAGACAGAATGGCCGGAGAGCAGAGCATCTCAGGGAAGTGGTATGAGATGAGCTGGAGAGAGATTGGCAAGGCCAGACCACACAGAGCCTTGTAGGCTGTGTGTGAAAGGTCTTATTTTTGGCCGAAGGTTCTTGGGAAGTTATTGAAAGGTTTTAATCAGAGTTAAAGGTAGATGAAAGAACTGTAAGTTGTTAGATAATAATTATATTAAAAAATAGCTACAGGCGTAATGTTTTTCACTGGGAAAAGGTAATTGTTTAGGTAAGTATATGTTTCTGAAAACAGATCATCTTTTGTTGTGCCATATATTATTGTGTTTAGTAATCTAAATTCTGATCGTGTCATTTGCTCCTTGAAGATATGGTTTGTGGTAAGGACACTGCATTTTAATTAAAGGACTAGATGGAAAATGAAAACCCTGCAATCATAAAAAGCCTTGATAATGATGCAGTGAAAGATTAAGGGAAATATTTACATAGGAATTGATATCATATCTTTCTCAAGTTATTCAGTAATGAAAACCCGTTGACAAACGGAAATAGTTTTATCAAAATGATTATGGGGGAAAGCTTTTTTTAAGTAGCTTGTCATTTGAAGGGCTTCTGAATTGATTTTTTCTAACTTGTTTCTATTTCTTTGCCTTCATAGGAGAGTAGTTATTTTGATGGAGTTAGACATTTTGAAATCTGCTGAAGCAGTTGGATTAAAGATTGGCAATCCCGTGCCCTATAATGAAGGTAAAATACTTTTTTATAGGTTGTAGCTCTCAATTGAATACCTCTTTATAGATCCAGAATTCTACCTTTTGGGTTCAGTTTGATTTATTGGTCTTACCAAGACTAGTGATTTGGGGGTTTAGGAACCAGGTTAATCTTTCAGCGTTTTCAGCGCTAAAGAAATGATGGTAGGACTCTGAAGGAAAACCCTCTTCTCTGTTTTTCTCTGCATACAACTTCTATCATACTTTTGGCTTATCTGTCACCAGAAGTATGGGGTTTATCCTACACTAAGCAATTCTCTAATTCTCCATGAACACTGGCTGGTTGTCCTACGATTCAGTTTAGTTCTGATGCTATCTATCTGAAGTTAGCATCAGATTCCTTAGGTAAAGACTGAGTCCCACAAGGCTGCCTCCGTACCCCTCTGCCACCCCAAACCCCAGTTCCGAAGCCAGTCAAAAGTCCTAGGTAGTTACTTGCGCTTCTGACTAACTGGCTGTAAATTGGAGTTCCCACAACCCCCTCCTCAGGTTCGATTAGATTAATGAGCTAGAGTGGCTCACAGAACTCAGAGAGCAGCCAGGTGGAAGAGGTGTACTGGGCAAGGTATGTGGGAAGGGGTGCAGAGTTTCTGTACTCTCTCGGGGTACACTGTCCTCCCAGCACTTCCATGTCTTCACCAACAGAAGTTCCCAAACCCCATCCTTTTGGGTTTTTATGGAGGCCTCCTTAGTTAGGCATGATTTAATAATCATTGATCATTGGTGATTGGTTCAATCTCTAATCCCTCTTCTCTCCTTAGAGGTGATGGGTAGGTGCTGAAAGTTCCAACTCTGATCACATGGTTGGTTCCCCTGACAATCATCCCCATCCTTAGGGGCTTTCCAAAAGTCACCTCACTGACACTCAGGTGTGGTTGAAATGGGCTTCCTCCTACCACTTAGGAAATTATAAGGGTTTTAAGAGCTCTGTGCCAGAAACCATGGATGAAGGCCAAAAAAATACTTGTTATATCACAATATCACAAGCTTACATTAGGAAAGGAGGAAAAATTAGAGAATATAATGGAAAAAGATCCCACTTACAATAGATTAAAAATAAATACATAGGGGCACCTGGCTGGCTCAGTTGGAGGAGTGTGTAACTTTTGATCTCGGGGTCATGAGTTTGAGTCCCATGTTGGGTGTAGAGATTACTTAAATAAAAAAAACTTGAAAAAGAAGCCAATATATAGAAGTAATGTTAATGAGAAATGTGCTTTCTTAAATGCACATTTTTGTTTTTGTTTGTTTTTGCTTTTAAAAAATGTAAAGCAAGGGGCACCTGCTTGGCTCAGTCAGTAGAACATGTGATTCTTGATCTCAGGGTCTTAAGTTTGAGTTCTATGTTGAGGGTAGAGTTTACTCAATTAAAAAAAAAATCTTAAAAAAAATAATGTAAAGCAAGGGCTCCTGGCTGGCTTAGTCAATAGAACATGCAGCTCTTTATCTCGAGGTTGTGAGTTTGAGCCCCACATTGGGTGTAGAGATTACTTAAAAATAAAATCTTGGGCGCCTGGGTGGCTCCGATGGTTAAGCGTCTGCCTTCGGCTCAGGTCATGATCCCAGGGTCCTGGGATCGAGTCCCACATCGGGCTCCCTGCTCCTTGGGAGCCT